GCGGGAGCGGGCGGGCAGTGCCGGGAGCTGGGGGATGGCGGGTGGCGGGGCCTTCGCTTCAGGAGGTGCCGCAGCCTCCCCCGGCCGAGTCCCACAGGAGAGGCCTTCATAGGTTCTGGGGCGTGGGCATTCCCCTGCTCCGAGCAGAGCCCTCACCGTCTCAGAAATTTAGCCTCCATTATGCGTATTTGGTTTTGAAGCATCCACCTTGCTATGTATTTGCGGTCTGCTGCACGCTAGGTTTGGTTCTGGGCGCTATTTTGCTGTATTTGCAGCCACCATCTGCTTTGGAACGGGTGCTTCGTGGGACTCTTCGATCTGATCTGAATAGCCATTGCAGGGAAGGTCGTTTGGGGGTGAAGGATGTGCGCTGTGTCAGTTCAGAAAAACAGTGACTCACTGTATGCTTGAGATCTTGTAATATTTCTGGATAAGGCTCCTCCAGTTTTGGTGCTCAGTGATGGGTTGGTAATTTCCCTTGAGAAAGATTAGTCATGGTTGTCAGGCTTTTTGGGTGTTGGGGGTGAAGTAGGGTGGATTTTGGGGGGGGGGGGAGGATTTTTTTTTTTTTAATATGTGTAATTTCTACAGAAAGCTGCGTAAAGATGTGATCTGGTGAGACTGACACGTATAATTCCCAGTGGCAGCTGCTGGTCATACTAACTTGCATTTTACAACAGCACTGGTTTGGAAGCAATGCTAAGCTTTAGACTAGGACAGTGTTTAAAGAGAGAAATAGAGCTGAAGTAAGTATACTTGGGTTTTGATCTGAATTGTTTTCATCAGTTAATTGATTTTTTTTAACTGAACAAATTTAATTGATATATGGCAGTACATGAAGAAGTCAGTTGATTGGTTTTGATTAATGGAGCTCTTGAACATTCTTCTACAGTATTTGTATGTTTGTACTTCTGTAGTACTGGTGTGGTCTTCCACATGGGTGGTGCCAGTTACCATAAAGTAAGTGATCTATTATAGTTAATGCTTCCTTTGAAAATCTCATGTCAAGTGGTTGAGTTTTGGTTGTTTTTTTTTTTCCCTGAGCATACTACTGAGGCACTGGCGCAGGTTGCCCAGAGAAGCTGTGACTGCCCCGTCCCTGGCAGTGTTGAAGGCCAGGCTGGATGTTTGAGCAACTTTGTCCAGTGTGAGGTGTCTCTGCCCATGGCAGGGGGTTTGGAACTGGATGATCTTTAAGGTCCCTTCCAACCCAAATCATTCCATGATTCTATGACTTGATCAGTTTCCACTGTTAGAAAGTGCATTTATATGATTACAACTACCTCAAAACGAAGTTTGGACTCTAATAGAGCTGTGATAGCTTACTTAAGAAACCTCTATCACCAGTCTGACGACAGGAAATTATGGTGCTTATTTAACGTCCAATAATATAATAATAAATAGAAATATATAATCTCATAAAGCATGTTTTAGAGAACTATAAAATTGTAGCAATTATGTTGACTTTTACCTGGAATGGCATGGTTACACTTACCACACCACAGAAACCTGATAATATTAGAATACATAGCTCTATTAACTGCCCTTTTTTAACAGCTGTGCCTTGGTAGAGTTGCCCAATTTGCAGTTGAAAATTTTACAGGAAATTAAAAAAGCCTGGAAATTCACTTTGTGCTTTCCCACTGCATGTTGTTCACTCTGTATGCACCTGTCTGTACCTCTTCATTTTTTCATACATCTTATTCTGAAAATTTCCCTAATGGTTACTGATATTTGAGATTAATGAAAGTTGAATGTTTCTTTAAGTGATCTTCTAAGTGGGTTGAAAAACAATCAGTGATTCGGTGTATAATCTGTAGCTTTATATCACAGTTTAATGAAATAGGTGGAACTTTTTTATTTTGCAAAAATACACTGGAAACGTAGAAACTAGGTCTTAAAAATCTGAGTAAATCTGGGACCAGAAAGTCTTCTCACAACCAAGTAATATGAAGAATAAACTTACGAGCTGATGTTGATCTGGTGACAGGCAATGAAAACAGTAACAGCAATTCCTAGAGAAGGCTCCAGACTGCCGGCTTGTGGTGAATGTAGCAACTCTGGTGTAGGAATGGTCTAAAGATACAGATTCTCCATAAAGCATGCAGTCTGAAGTGTACACATGTGAAAGTACATGGTCATTTGGCAAGATAAATACTAGTAAAGTTTGTGCAAGGTATCTTGACAGAAAGAAAGAAAAATGGTTTTTATTTAACTTCAGAAGAGTAATTTTTTTTCTGTGTTTTTTCCCATTTACGCCTTTATAAACTTGTTTATTCACAGTATCTGAAACGGATAAGATCTTTATTTGCACGTTTAACTGAAACTGGTATGAATTAGAAGTGATATGACATTAAATGAATATAACAAAGTGACTTCTCACTCCAGTCTCTGGAGCAAACTTCCAGTACATGGGTCATAGAATCATAGAATAGTTAGCATTGGAAAGGAACCTTAAGATCATCCAGTTCCAGTCCCATGCCATGGGCAGGGATACCTCACCCTACAGCCCGTTATGTTTTGTAGATTATTGTAAAGCTAAGAGAGCATGCTCCTAAAGAAACAGTTCTCTGAAGAATAGGTGTTACAGGCTCAGAGAAGAAGGAAACGTCACTGCAATAACCGTAAGTATCCAACTTTCTGTCATTCTCAGTATTGGTGTGTGCACTAAACTCGGAAGGCTCCCAGGGAGGGTATAACGAGAGCTTAAAACCAGTTGGAAACTAGATTAAATTCTTGTATCCCTTCCTAGTGTGACAGAACTTAAAATGTGCCTTAAATATACCTATTTCTCTGTCAATATTATGTGATTATTGTAGATGTTTAGCTGATGCAGACACAGCTTTGTGTTCTGAGGTCCCAGAGTCTCTTCAGCCACTGAGTCACATTTTAATCTGATTTTTTTGCTTCCTTCCATCCATTTCTTTCTTGATAGTAAAGGTAACACAGATATTGCATTAATAAATCAATGTAGTTCTGTCTTTCTGAATTTATATACCTTTGGAAACATTAAATGTTACAATGGCATATTGATACTACCAGTACTAACCATTTTGCTGCTCTTTATCTTCAGACCTGCTCTGATAAGCTTATTTTCCTTACTGAATCACTCAAACCTTTGGCTTCACCTCTAGCGACTTCAGCATCAGTGGTGCATTTTCTATATGAAATCATGAAGACAAAAACTATATCAAGAAGTAATAGTTCTTAAGCACAAAGAATTGCTGCCTTTTATATAAGCTGAGGTAATATAGTTAAAATGATCTCTTTTCCTCCTTGTATAGACTCCAGCCTTTTCCAGGACCCTATCTAGACACAGCCAACTTAATGATCAAAACCTTAAAATAGAGATCAGAAGTACTAAATTTGGATGTTGAATTCAGTATCAGAGTGGTATGATTTCTAAGAACACTTAACAAAGGCGAGTGGTTACATATTTAGCATACATACCCTATGAACTTCAGCAGGCACTTGGCTCTGCTTATCAGATCCAAGGTGTCAAGTTGGGTGCTCGAATAAAGAACAAGCAATTACACAGTAGTTATGAGCAACTTTAAGCAGCATTCACTGCCAAAGCCATGATGCCTTTGTACTTTTACATAATTATTTCATTTGTTACAAACACAATTGTGTCTAATCTCTTTATAGTCCTGGATTTATAGCCCATCAGAGGTGTACATTGTTGGTTTTTGACTTGGAATTGAGCATATGATAGCATGTTCACAGGACTTACTCACCCTTCATGTGGAGCAAGTATGGTGCAGGAATATGTCTTTCAGGAATGCTCAGTTTGAAGTTCCTATTCTAGCATTTTTTGAGCCTGTTGAGATTCTGTCTGCATTATGAAGCCAGATTATATATCGGAACTGATCTACTTATGCGTGAGCTTGGAAGATCTCTTTTTTTTTTTTAAGCCAGCATCAGGCACTGACTGAGGTGGTAGACATGTCTGAGACAAAGCAAAGAAAACATGTTGAGCTCATTACTGTTTGTTAAATGATACATATGAGTTGGGCCTCTGAACAGAGGAAGCTACAAGCTGTGTCCAGTTCTCTTGTTTCGGGTTTTTTTGTGGATGTCGTGTATTGTGTCTTGCTTCTGACTTACTTTTTCACTCTGTTCTTCCCCCCCTGATTTTGATGTCACCTTGCTATGTAGTCCTTCCCCATGTAAATGAGGTTTTAGTTCTGAATGGGCCCATCTATTTTGGGATTTCTTTTGCAGTAAATGACTAGGGATTCTAACAGCAAAGCTTCCTCTGTTGCATACCGCCTTAATCATCTGCAGACCAGGTTTGTCCTCTAGAATGAATGAGGATGAGGTAGTAAAGTAATTAAGACTGGATTTGTGTCTCATTGCTGATTGAATTTTAACTTAATTATACTAAGGCTGAAGTATTAACTCATGGTAAACACTGGAGATCGTTTCTTGGAGATACATACTTTTGAGTGACCTAACTAGAAAAACAACTTCACTCTCAGTTTATACTTCATCATATTACACTTGCAAGTTTTGATATCGACAGCAAGGAATTGAGAATAGAGAAATCTCTCAAAGAGATTTAATAAGTAAAATAAGGCTTATCTATTGTTCAACTTCATGAAGGTGGTAACTTTTCTTGGATTGGATGAAGGCTGTGTAGGGGATCTTTTCCAGTGAAGAGGAAAGGATCAGGGAATAGAAAAGGATTATCTGAAAGAGCAATAATGCATTTGCAGTAATGTTGTTTTCATGGGTTATGCTGGTTTAAGAAGTTACCTGTGTTTGTACTAAATGAGTCCATACCTGATGAGGATAACCAAAGGGAGAAACTGGAAGTACAAATACTGAAATGGATGTTTGATTTGAGAAATATATTGTGATATTTGTATAGAGAGCACTTTGGTTTCCGCTCGCTGTGGCTGCCTTTGGCAAAAATTTTCAATTCACATAGCTGCTTTTATATGTTGCATAAACTTTTTATAAATTCAGTCTTTATCTGCTGCTAAGGTTTTGTCAAAATCCAATGTAAATTGTTTAGACGCAGTGTTTTGTAATTCTTTGGTAGGCAAGTATGATATTTTTAGAGCTTTTCACATAACAATTACTGTTCTGCTTCTTGATTCCTACCCATTACCCCTGACATTTTGTCTTTGCCCATAACTTGTCTCAGTTAGTTATGCTATGTAAATTGACAGACATACCAGTTCTGAACATGCAGCTTCTTCTGTCAGCTAAACTAATGATGGTGAATAACTAGGGATGCTGAAAGGGCACTCTCAAACCCTGGATTTATTTTCCTGATGCCTCCCTGGTGCTGGCAGTCGTTTCCATCTGATTGTACAGGGAGGCAGTTCTGGGAGCTAAACAGAAGCTTGGTGACTTGTTAATGAAGGGTTATGCTGATGGCAGATACCATTTGGCAGGAATAGCCTCCCATAAAGACCTTTGCAGGTGGAGTTACTACGCAGAACACAATAAAGGTGCCAAACTGTAAACACTAGGAATTGAATCATTAATGCCAAAGAGGCAATGACAGGAGAAAAGGGGAATACTGTTCCCTTGTTTATGGCTTTCTGCTCTTCTGTAAACAGCGTTATTACACATAAGAGTGCAAATAACTCTGCTCCAAGGGTTTGTGTGTGATAAAATAATCTCCAGTAGATAGCAGTTTTGCTATTTGGAAGATCTGCAGGTGAGTACATGGGCAAGTTTTGTGCTTTTGTTGCAGCATTTTGTAATTTGGGCATTGTTGTGTTGAACTGTAGTTTACATATGCTTTCATGTATATCCTAATACTGAAGGTTTTCATTGTTTATTTATTTTTTTTAAATCTTTGCAGTGTCCATAGGGGTGAGCTCAAGCCTTGCATTCTGCAACATTTAGGAGCATATCTGGTTGAGAGCATCTTGTAACTGCAAAATCCCAAAGGTACATGATGCTAAAAGGATTCAAGCTAGATAGTGGAAGGGTAAATAAGGCAGGAAGTAAGTTTCCTGTCAACTGTGTATCTCAGTGATGTGCTTAATGTACCTTTCTGTCTGCAAGTGACAATCTGCATACCTCTTCTTGCAGTAGGTGACTCTAGGAAGTAATTGCCACAAATGCTTATATGGAAATGGGGTGAGGGCTTTGAGTAGCAGCTGTACAGCTTGAAGACCACTCTGTCAAATGATCTTTAAGTATTATCTACAGATAACATTCCATAGGACTGCTTAGCAGATGCAACTCACAGAGGTATTTCTTAGCAAGCACACTGATGTTGCTTGAGTTCTTGTGGAGCTCTGATGATAAAAACGCCCTGTCTTTATCAGTACCATAAAAGGCATTGACACAGCCTGCAGTCTATTTTAAAACTCCTCTTTCAGTGAAGACCCTTTGTTTGAATTAACACAAGCTGGTTTTGGAGATCTAAAAGGTCATCTTATAGAAACACTTTGATTCTGAGGATGAGAAAGATGGCACGTGTAGGAAGTAAGAGTGAGGCTATGAGGCAAGGATCTTTGATTCATTACCAGCTGGTGAACATGGATGAACACTGATAATCACCCTTTTGTCATAATACGGCTAAAGGTCCAGGATCAGAGGAATGAACAGGAAAATGCAGACTATTCTTTCTAACCAGAGAACAAGGGAAATATTTAGTAAATGTGTAAGGGTAAAAAGCGCTAACACTTTTCTTCCATATTAGAAGCCAAAATGTTGATCCCTGTTCTGGAATTGTCATCTAGGAATTTGGACCATATATCCCACTTAGTCTAGTACAAAAAAAGAAGTCAGCCTTTCTGCCAAAGCACCCACGATGACTAGGAGATTGATCAGTGATACATGGATTTGTCTTTATATACAGCAGTTCACAAAGATGAGCCAGAAGAGGTGGAGAGACACTACACCACCTGACAGAGTGCAGATAAACAGCTGTGATTTTTTTTGTCAACATACTGCTCTTATGTGTCTTTTGACAGGGTTGCAGCATCTTTTCCACAGCGCATGCTGTCCTGGCTTCTGTGAGGTTTGGGAACAGCCCTTCCTTTGAGAACAACCAGCCTTGCAGAGTCATGCCTGTGAGTATTTCACCAGTGCCATATATCACAATTGATGAGGTGAGATCGAAAAGCATCCCCTTGCAGGATGAAAGGACCATGGTAATGTTCTATATCATGAGACAGTATTTTGGAGGGGAATATAAATCATGCATAGAGGAGTTTCAAGGTATAAAATGTTCAGTGACTTGAAAATAGATTGGCTTGAGGCATCATATGACTTAGCAAGGTTAGGCAGATCTGTCATTGCGATAGGAAGAAGACCCACACACGTATGTTGTGGCAGTCTAGAACCTGTCTTGGAATGGAAAGTTTCTTGCAGGTTCTAAAGCATATGTGGAGTGGGCTCTGCCACTTGCTTGTTCCTTCACCAGCCAGCTGTTCTGACCAGGAGAGGGATACAGAGTTCCATTCAAGGAAGATAAACACCACTGCCCATGTTTAAGTGCTGCAACAAGACTCAGTTGATCTTTACTAATCTGTAAAACAAAGGTGATAATACGTAGGTGATACACTTTAGAAATGTGTGTGAAGTTTAATACTGCAAGGAAAGAGGAGGATGCTGAAGCAGTTAAATAGTGTTTGGTTTTTTTTAAATGATCTGTACTTCTTGAAGCATTTCTTTTGAGAATTTGGTAACTAGTGCAAGTGAAAGCTGGTAGGCAGAAGATTCTCCTTCTGTAGAAGTCTTCCATGCAGGGTGAATCAGCAGTGGCAGTTTGAATGAAAACTTGACTCTGCCAAGTAGGGGTGAGAAGATTCTGATGGACAGGGCCTGAAGCCACATGCTCATGTTGAGCTAGTGCCACAAAAGGTAGTGAGGGTCCTGCTGCCAGCAAACTGTGGTTCAGAGGGACAGTTATTTTTTTTTCTTGAAATTGTATGGTATCCCAATAGAATTATTTCTTCCTTAACCAAAAGTAGAAAGAACTCTATTTCGAGGCACCATGTCTTACCTGTGAGATGGAGAAGGCAAAGGAAAAGTATCCTTCAGATTATAGAAGCGTGTGCTGAGGACTGGTAAAATGCCCCAGATGCTGCTATGTTCTGAAATTTTGAAATAATTCAGACTAACATACTAATATTTAATGAGGAGAGGTTGAGGATCCTAATCTGGTAGCCTGTCATAAGGTCAATGAGAAATGATTTGAAAGCGTAAGGCTCCTGATACAGAACTATGTGTTGAGCCTGCCCTGATCTTTGTGCCATTGGTCTGAAGTTCCGTATCAAGGCGTAACACCTATTCTGTGCCAGAGCCTGAACCATCTGTAGCAAAAACTCCTCTCCTTCTTACTGAGAATAATTGAGAGGATCTAGAACACTGATGAACCGTGCGTGCATGTTAATAATCTGAGGTGGAGACATCATCTTCAGTATGGGAACCAGGAAATGAAGCTCAGCAGTTCTTCGAAGCTCTGTAGAAATCTGAGGAGCAGGGAGGCCTATGTGGATCAGAAACTTTTTATCTCAAATCTGTTAGGAGGTCAAGTTCTGGCACTGTACCATGCTGCTGTGATTGCTAAGGCTGTGCTATGAGTCCTTGGTCAACAGGTTGTGGGAATCTGATGCAGCCACTGTCTTTTTAATGAAATAATTTTGGAACTGCCGCTTCCTGGTTTTATCGGCATGAAGGTCAAGACCTTATACCTTATGGATGGAGTGCTTTTGCCAGATGTGCCCTGTGTTCACGGCAGGCAGAGCTGGAAGGTGAATCTCAAGAAAAAGTCATGTAAGTAGAGCTTACTAGAGAGAATAAAAAATGAATTTAAACTACATAAAGATGATTAAATAATGCAAATACCAATAAGGAACACTGTATTATCAGAGGGATGTCCAGCTCAGAAGAGAGTCCTGTAGTCCACCTGACAGAAAAAAGGAACTGGAAAGGCACCAGACTTAGTTGCGCATCAGATATGTGAGAGTATGGACACCGTCAAGTGCCCTGTGGAAAACCTGTCTCTAGTTCTAAAGCATTTGTACAGCTGCAGGGCAGATACACACATGGATTATCACTTAAAAGATAACATGTTTGCTACCATAGATACTATTAGCTTCTTGACAACATTCGTAATTTTTAGTCATTTTTATACTTTGTGAACTAAAGGTATATGATTTAGCATGCTGCTCTATCTTTAATACTTTCTGCCATAGAGCTGAATTCCAGAGCAACACTGGTAACTTAAATCGGACTTCTGAGACTGGTGGTAGGATCACTTAAGTGATACTGTCGGAGAGCAATTCCTCACAGGCAACTACACAAATAACCAGATGGCCTCTGCAGTTCATATAGTCTTTTTTTATATTGGAATTTGAAGTTACTGGGCCTATCTGATCCTAAAGGTCTGTTTCTACACTGAGTGCGCTGCACTCAGGTTTTAATAGCTTCTGGTTTGTTAAGAGGTCAGTGTGCTGGATAGTCCCTGACGGGGAAAAAGGAGTTGGGAAGTGCCCATTCTACAGGATTTCATTAGCAAAGTTACTGAAGTTTTATGGACTTTCACTCACTCTTTACAAGTAATGACAGGTGTATCTATTTCTTATTTCCTAGTCCTACATTTTTTTGTAGGACCAACTGCTGTTTGAGGCAAGCAGCACAGTAGTACTAGAGAAAATGTAAAAATTAATTGGTAAGCTGTTCTGAAGAAGGCTTCACTTAGTCTACAGCTATTACAGATGGGCAAAGAGAATCATACCTGTTCCTGACACTTTGCTGCTTACTGCACCCAGGACTTGTTCTGCATAATTGGCAAAGGCAAGTGTTTGTCTTGGGCTGGGCTGGCTGAGAGTTGCTTTTAAGCATGTGGGTGCAGCTGCCTCGCAATATATTGCAGCAAAATCCTCTACATCTCGAGTACGGCCGTAATGGCTGTCTAAAAATAATACATAACAAAGGGTGTCCTTTTCAGGGAGAGACAGAAATAACTTGTCTTGCTTTTGGCAAAACGTACGGCTATTACCGGTGAGTTTACTAGCAGCCGCCTGACCCCGAGGGCGCGCAAGAGCTAACTTTCAATCAGATTTTCTGTGTGCGAACCTCGAGCTTGGACTTCCCCCAAAGAAATAATAAATACCACTCGCTTGTAGTTCTGAGCCGTGGTTTTGTAACCAGCCGCGTCCCGCCCTGCCGCCCCTCCCCGCGCCGCTTCCCGCGCTCGGCCGTTTCAGCGTTCTCGCTGGGCGGGAACGCGCCTCTCTGCCCGCCGCGTTCTCGCCTTGTCCCCCGAGGTAAGGCCCGGCTCGCACCGGAGCAGCGCCCGTGCGGCGATCCGCCATTCGGGGCCGGAGGAGCGGCTGTGCGCAGGTCCCGCCCCGCGGTGGCGGCGGGGCTGGGCGGTGCCTGGCGCCCTCACGTCCCTTCGCTCCCTTCTCTCCTCCCTCCCTCCCTCCCTCCCTCTCTCTACCCTCCCTCCCCCCCGTCGGCGCAGCGCTGTGGTGAAGCCGCATTGTTTGTGCCGAGGGGGGAGGGGAGCTTCTCAGCCCCGGGAGCTGAGCGCCGAGCCCGCAGCCGGACCGCGACCTGCGCCGCGCCTCACGAATGCGCCGCGCCCGGCTGCAGCAGCAGCCCTGCACCCAGCGCCGGGTAGCCGCCGGCAGCGCGGTTCCCTCAGCGCCCGCTCGGCCGCCCGCGGCTGCCGGACGCGGGAGCAGGCGGCAGTGCCGGCGGGACCTCCGCCATTAAACCGGCCGCAGCGTCGGCCGCAGCGGCGGAGAGGGAGGTCTGTCAGCCGCGCTTCGGCGGCTCCCACAGCGTGAGTGAAGCCAGGCGGGCGGCGGGGGCCGGCGGGCGGGTGGGGGCTGCGGGGCTGGGAGCCGGTAGGTCCCGTCGCGAGGAGACGGGAGACCGGCGGAGGGAAGGGGAGGGCAGGGAGAACTGGGCACGGCGGCGGTGGGGGAGAGGCGGCCGAGGGGCGAGGCAGGCGGGCGCGGAGGCTGCGCGGGGGGGAGCGGAGCGCGGCAGTCGGGGGCAGGGCGCCGCTCGAGGTGTTTTGTCAGCCGCCATATTGTGGGCCGAGTATTTTCGCGGAGGGGAGGGAGGTGGCTGCTGGGAAGGGCTGGAGATGATGGGCCCGGGCAGGAACCATCTTCCGGGGGGCCGGCAGGGGGGAACGCCGGGGCCAGGCAGGAACCATTGGCGCGGAGGGGTGTGAGCGCGCTGGAGGCTCCCTGGGCGTGGGCAGGAAGTGCTCGCGCAGGACCAGAGAGGGCGGGCCCGAGGCCGCGGGCGGGCTCCGCGCTGGGCGGGGGCCGTGCCGGTAGCGGGAGGGGCTCGGCCCGACTCGGCTCAGGTGATGCTGCGTGCGCCCCAGCTCCTGGTGTTGCCCTGAGGGGATTTATGCTGACCCGCGGCTGAAGTTGTGGGTGGTGTCTGCCCTGTATGCTTGTAAGCCCTGTTTGCTCACCCCCGTCATTGTTTGGGGCTAAAGAGCATTCCAGTGTCTTTATCTTTTTAATGGTTTGCATGAAAGTGTCCATTGAGAATGGAATTTCCTTTTCCATTGAGCAGGGGATCCAGGGACCAAAGGCAGTTTATTTGAGGAGGAGGAAGGTAACTAGGACAGTTTGTGAAAGGAGTTTGTAATCAAAAGTACACGTTGTGTCACTTTTCCTGTTCGTTTTAGCTTCCCTACTCCTTGGTACAAAGTATTTTTTGCCTCATGCCGTGTATTCCTGACAAGCAGCAGTTTTGGTGTATTTCTGTTGTGAGGGGAAGCATGTGCTGGTGACTTTTCCCGAGCAGCTGATGTAATTCCTAGAGGAAAGCTGTGGATAACTTTCCCAGTTTATCTCCTGCAGCCTTTTGAGTTGTTGTAAGAGGCAGAAAAATACATTAAAGTAATTTCGTTTTGTGTCAATGTGGTATCTTTTTTCATGCTGAATGGAAATTATCTCAGTTTACTCTTTTCCGAATGTGGATCCGTGGTCTTCATTCCTGTCGATCTGCAAGGTACTGCAGGGGGAAGGGAAGAAAGATTCTTGGTCATTAACTGGGAAAAGCAAACCAATTGCCAGTCATGAATTTGTTATGCGGAAATCCTGTCTTCACCCAGAATATTTATAGGACGTTTGCAAACAGAAGAATTTTGCAGAAAGAAAACAAAACAGTACTTTAGCTTTCCAGGCATTTAAGGTATTTGCACTCAGTTTCTAAGAAATTTGGTCAGAGTGCTACCAGTCATAACTCTGTGCATTGCATCATATTTGTAGGGTATCCGTTCTGCGCTTAACTGTGACTGTAAATTGCTTCCTAATTTAGCTTTATTAACAGGTAAGTGTTATAGGGGAGATGCTTAGATGTTAGTTCATCATTTTTTATCATTCTTGATCGAACAGTTTGACTTTTACAATAGTAGCCCTAAGTCCTTAAGCAAGAACACTTGTGTTTTTGAATATTTTCTTCCTCTTTTCATTGCCTGCTTGCAGCCATGCTTGAGAATCTCTTGAGCAGAGGAGGGATGAAGGGGTTGGAAACCTAGCATTAGTGTGTGTTTTTGTGGTACTGGGTTAAGTTCAATAGCGAAGTGGAGACAAGTTGCACGTGTTTTTTTGATTTCTGAAGGTTATCTCTCATCTGTGCCCTCATTATTTGTTCACAACAATAAACAGAAATCGGGGCCATTGTGTGATCTTTGGTCTCTGAATTATAAAATGTGTTGTGAAACTGAGAACTAACTTTTAATTTCAGTTAAACGATTAGTATGCCTTTTTTCTAGTTATTGGACCTTCTGTAGCAGTGTTAGTGCTTTAAAGTTTCTCTGCAGTTAAGAAATGAGTATGTTGTTTTACAGGATTAAATTATTAAATATTTCTGTCAAACTTGTTTGAAGAAGTGGAGCCTTTTTTATTCATCTGTTGTTTATATGGAACAGATCAGAGGTCTGTCATGATTAAACACCGACTGTTGTCTGTGCTTGTGCCATAAAAACAAGTAATAAGAGTTAAGGGTGTAAAAGTCAGATCTGTGAGCAACACAGTTCTCACATGAATAATAAAAACATTTTAGATTGGGAAAACAAGATCAGTTTGTGGGAGCAAGTAGATAGGACCCTCTCGAGAATTAGTCTTTACACTAGCTGCCTAAATTATTTAGTCTTCCTGTAAAAGGAGTTCCTTCAGCGCTTTGAAGGTGCACCTTTAGAAACTGGCATCACAGACTAAACAAAAGGCAGGCTACATGGAGTAGTTTATGTATAATTGTTCCAGTCCTTGCTATTTCTTCTTGAAACAGATACCCTAGTCTTCAACAGTAGTTGTGTTTTGATCTCTAGTTCTCTGCTATTTTGGTAGTACATGCTAACACTAGTTGCATTATTCTAATAATGCATGACACTGACTTGGAAGTGTAGGATTGAAACGGTGAAGCCCTAATAATACTTTAGACCCGTGATTAAATATCAAGAGTTTGTTCTGTGGCTGACACTGAATTTTGCTGTTTATTAATGATTTATTAGGAAGAAAGAAGGAAAGGAATAGAACTTGTAAACTTGACCTTATCAGTTGGTATTGGTTTTACAATATCTTCAGCCTTCATAGGAAGAAACAAACCAACAAACAACTTTAAAATGCCAAAAGACATAAGTATGGAAGATTTTGTGATCCAAATGCATACTTGTCCTAGTCATGTTACTTTGGGGGTGGGAGCTGTCTTTTTGCATGGTAGTGGAATGATCTTTTTCCAGTAGGTGATAAACTTTAAAATTACATTAAAGAGCTTGGGGTTGGATTTAAAGACAGGGAAGTTTTTATCTGCCCCAGTTCCTCTGAGAAGCAGAACTCTTGAAGAATTTCTTAAAAGGAGAAAGGTGCATGTTCACACACACTGACGTGTAGGAGTGTGTTTTTGCTGTAAGTCCAGTCTGTTTTAGAGGTGGGATATTTCCTTGTTGCAGTTACGGTGCACTGCATGTTAATTGTGTTCTTGTCATTTTGTAATGAATGATAGGCTGGCTAAGAATGGAGAAAAGTGAAAAAGTAAAGAGCTGTCAAACTGCGTACTTGCCAAATTTGGAAGTATGCCCATTTTTTTAGCTTTAAGTGTCACTGTAGGAATTGAGTTGTTAATGTGACTGTTTCAGATTGTGCTAGAAAAAAAATTAGGGGAAGACTTGTTTTTCTTTTCACAATTATGTTACTTTTTTGGGGGGGCATCTGGAGAAAGTAATCTATTGCTGTTGGGGAAAAAAAATCAGACTGCAGACGCACTTAAGGTATTAGGAATGATTATATTTAAGTTTTTCTTACAGTGTACCTAATGTGGACTTTTTTGTGTGGCACTTCTGAAATGTTTTTTCTTGTGCAGAGGCCTTACAAGACTCCTACAGGAGACCTATCAGTATGAAGGGTTTTGTATAGTTGTGTTTACTTACAGAAGATGTTATTAGGGAGAACTGTTTATCATTAGGTTAAATTTGAACAAACCAGTGTGAGCAGCCCTATTAAGTAAGGGTAACAGCATTTTTATTTTTAATGAGTAAATAGGCTGAGGGCTATAGAACCAAAGTTTTTTTTCGTTGCTATAAAAAAAATAGTATTTTAATATGATTGTTTAGAGTTCATAATATTAACTGCTGCTCTAATTTTAGGTAAACATTACCAAATGAGGAGAAAAGGAAGATGTCATCGGGTATCAGCAGCAAGGCATTCTTCTTCCCCATGCAGTATTAAGCACTCCCCCACGCGAGAAACCTTGACATACGCTCAAGCTCAAAGAATGGTTGAAATAGAAATTGAAGGTCGCCTGCATAGGATCAGTATCTTTGATCCTTTAGAGATTATATTAGAAGATGATCTTACAGCCCAGGAGATGAGTGAATGCAACAGCAATAAAGAAAATAGTGAAAGACCACCAGTATGTCTAAGAAGCAAACGGCATAAAAATAACAAAGTGAAAAAGAAAAATGAAGCTCTCCCGAGCTCACACGGTATACCTGCTACAGCAACTCCTCTTCCAGAACCAAAAGTACGGATTGTTGAGTACAGTCCCCCTTCAGCTCCACGGAGACCTCCAGTTTATTACAAATTCATTGAGAAGTCAGCAGAAGAACTTGATAATGAAGTTGAGTATGACATGGATGAAGAAGATTATGCATGGTTAGAAATAATAAATGAGAAGCGGAAAAGTGATGGAGTGTCAGTTGTTTCACAAAATATGTTTGAATTCCTTATGGATAGGTTTGAAAAAGAGTCTTATTGTGAGAACCAAAAACAGGGTGATCATCAATCTTTAATTGATGAAGATGCGGTGTGTTGTATATGCATGGATGGTGAATGTCAGAACAGCAATGTAATCCTGTTTTGTGATATGTGTAATTTAGCAGTACATCAGGAATGCTATGGGGTGCCATATATACCTGAGGGCCAGTGGCTCTGCAGACACTGTCTGCAGTCCCGTTCTCGGCCTGTAGACTGTGTGCTGTGCCCAAACAAGGGAGGTGCCTTTAAAAAGACAGATGATGATCGTTGGGGACACGTGGTGTGTGCTTTGTGGATTCCAGAGGTTGGATTTGCCAATACAGTTTTTATTGAACCAATTGATGGTGTCAGGAACATTCCCCCAGCCAGATGGAAGTTAACATGCTACCTCTGTAAACAGAAAGGTGTTGGTGCCTGCATCCAGTGCCACAAAGCAAACTGCTATACTGCATTCCATGTGACGTGTGCTCAAAAGGCCGGTCTATATATGAAAATGGAACCTGTGAAAGAACTAACTGGCAGTGGGACAACATTCTCTGTAAAAAAGACTGCCTATTGCGATGTACATACTCCACCAGGTTGCACACGGAGACCTCTAAATATTTATGGAGAAGCTGAAATAAAAAATGGTGTTTGTAGAAAGGAGGGATCTGTCAGAACTGCTAGGTCTACATCAAAAGTCAGAAAAAAGACAAAAAAAGCCAAGAAAACCGTGGTTGAACCCTGTACAGTTATGCCAACGGTATCTGCTCCTTATATCCCCCCCCAGAGGTAAGCAAACCATCTGAGAGAAACCCTTACTTATTTACCTGTTTAATTTTAAACCAGTGCTTTCACAAAACAATTTGAAGTTTCTGTGCGTTACTTACATGCTTTGCTTAAAGGCCATACTCAGAGGATTAATGTTTGTTGCATACATTTTACTTTTGTGAAATTGCATTAAAAATGCAGTATAATCCCCAGAGAAATCAGTAAGTGGTCAAGTGGTCTGTCATTTCCTTGGAAACCATTTTATTTTTTGTCAGACCAAATCATGTTGTGTGTTCAGTTGTTGTCATCACTGTATGTTGAGAATTAACCAGTGAATTCATAAGGGCATGTGGAGTTGAACTTCAGATAAAAAACAAAAAAACAGCCAAGCTCAAGGTTATCTGTATTCGGAATTCGGGCATCTGAACTTCTCCTTTTTTTTAAAGGAGCCCCCAATTGGAAATTAAGTTTGCATATGTAAGATACGAATCATGTTAATCTCCCCTAAGTTAGGTATAAACTTTAAGTAGCATAAAAAATCGCTGCAGCAACTATTGCTCTTGTCAGGCACAGAAACTTCTTAGAAGGTTTTTTTCTGAATCTGCATTTTCCCTTTTGTAAATGCGGTAGTGCTGACCAAGGCTTGGGTGAATTTGGTACCTTGCAGATTTTTTTTTTTTTAAAGTTAGCAAGTAAGTGATTGTAAATTAGTTGCTTAGTGTCACGTTAGAGCCTGAAATAAATCAAATGAAATAGAGTTACAGGGCTATCAAATATCTGCCCAATAACCAAATGTTATTAGAACAAAATGAATGCATGTGACAAAGAGTTTTAATCCTAATCTGTATTTGCTTACAAAGAGTTACACTTTATAAGAAGTTCTGTTTAATATGATTTTTATATTAGTGTGTCTTTCACAGTTCTTGCAGGAGCTTTTGTTACATGAGTGCAATTTTAAAGCATGGGCACCAGAACTGAAATTGCTCTTTACATGTAACATGCCATATTACTGTATTTTAACAGTGGTGATTGGGGGACTGGTAGATGGCTGTAGATCTGGTGAGGCTAGTGAAGTGGCACATCAGAAAGCAGTGCTGTTTCAGGTGATGTTTTCCTAAGTAATAACAGAATTGGAGCAAAATGAAGATTCTTAATATCGTTATTGCAGGAGTTTAAAAGCTCAGCATGAACTTCAATTATCTTAACTGTATCTTAATTTAAAGGAACAGTAGCATCTCTTCAGATTTCTTTCAGTTAATCTGAGATGCATTTCAACAGTGTTTCTGGGATTTTAGCAACGATGGAAAGCTCTGTGGTAGAAAGATACAGTTTTGGCTTTGCTGAGCATTTGGGACATAATATACTGGGCTAAGATGTGCAGAATTGGATTATTGGGATTAAAGCCAAGTTTGTCCTTATGGAGTATTTTTTTAGTTGGTAGCATTTAAAACATCAGTATGTTTGTGTACCCCTTGAATTCAACTACTGATTTAAGAACAGTAGTTTAGAAAGTTTCTCAAAACAGGAACTGCTTCCATCTGCAGGTTCATGGTTTGGATTGACAGGACTCTGAAGGCTAAGACAGTGAGGGCTCTTAACACAAACGATGCTTTTTTGAAAGCTGACTTCTAAGTCTCAGGTTGTGGACAGTTAAGGCTGGTTAAATTAATCTAAATAAATGCGTATCTTGAGACTGCAGTCCTTTCCCATAGTAAGTTTTGTTAATGTAAGTAGCTACTTACTGACTGACGTTGACAAACAGCCTTTAGTTCTCCGTGGTGTTTACAAACACCAGATTGATTGACTGTTGTCTGTTATGATTTACTTGGTAAAATAGTATTCTTGTTTAGTGGTGCACTGCATAAAAGCTGACATTGATAGTAAGCAACTAATAGTGTTTTCTAAATAGGTACTGTTGTCTTTGGGAGGGGGGGATTGACATTTAAGAATTTGGCGTTGTCTTAATTAAGACAGTCGTGATTGGTGGGTGTAGTGTGTTTTTGTTCTGTTTTTGCTTTTTTAAGACCACATAAGAAAGAATATGACCTACGTGAGAGTTGAGGATTGGAATGTATGTTCTTTCCATTGGTAACTTTCATAAAAAACCCCAAATCCTAAAAGGGTAATGTAATTGGTTTTATTTTTTTTTAAAGTGTCATTAGATGCCAGGAACAGAAATATAAAGACCTTTTTTCCTTTTTTTTTTTTTTTTTTTTTTTAAGTAATGATTAGATTTCTTTTCAAGGCTACAGAGAGATTCAGCTTCTGTTTATGCTCAGTTTCCTGTTTGTTGGACACAAGTATAGTTCCTGTATTCTATGTCAGAAGTGTAAAAAAAAAAAAAAATAGGCACAGTTTAAAACTGTTCTGAACTTGGGCTTTATTATAAATTGGTGGTCTTTAGCTGAGAAGGACTACTCTTTGTAATGTGAATGTGCTTAGTCTTGGAAAACTGATACCTGAATTAAAAGCAGAACAGAAGGGATTGTGCTGCAGACCCAAATCTCAGTTGTCTGATTTTCTTTGGGTGTTCTTTTTAGCATAAGCAGAAGTCACGTATGTGTGAGTTAAATATGCATATACCCATAAACTAACAATGAGTGATGTGGACCATTTCATAGCAGTCTTCATTTAAATGACCCCTTTAATGTTTTTCAGTGCGTTTTTTCCCTTGGAGTTGAAACATGATTTGCCTTTCCGGACATCTCAAAGAAGAGCAATTAAGCTATTTAAGTTATCAGAGAAGAAACATATATGCTCAGTGTTTAAACACTAGTGCTGTTTTCCTAGAGAATTTGAAAATAATGTGGTTTCAACATCTCTGGAAACAGGCATATGTGGAGTTGTTTGGTTTACTTTCTTAATTGCAGCTTCTGTAGCTCCTTGATTTCTGTATCTGTAGGTCAGGTCACTACACCACTGATTTTGAGAGCTCTTATCAGAGTTTCTTACACAGATGTTATACTCCAAGCTTTTTGCTCTTAAACTACATAGATACTGTCATTCTGTAGGTCATGTGTAAACTAATTATATGGCTTCTCAGGCTGTCATCTGTGAATTACTGATTCAAGAGTGTAGGATCAGAAGTTGTTAACCACCGATGATAGGAGATGGGTGATTGCTTCCTGTCTCTTTTCCTTCCTCCCTCCCTCCCTCCCTTCCTTCCTTCCTTCCTTGACAGGCACCTGTCTATCTTTTAGAAAGTCTGTACCTAAGTATCCACTTCCAGAGGTGCAGTAGGTGATGTTACAGCCTTAGGGTGACTTCAGTTTCCAGTGTTGTCAGTGCTGACTTCTTAATAACTCGCTTTGCACTTAGGATAATATGGGGGACCACTGGGGAGCTGCTTAGGTATGTATGATTTGCATCAGATAGTGCATTACCTCTTTACTAAGAAATTTGACTTAATATTTCTTGAAATATAAAATTGTTGAAGATAGTTTACATTAGTACTGCTTGCATTCATCAGCCATCAGCTTGCCCTTTTTTTTTTTAAAGCATAAATGAGTTTTAGACTGAAAGTTCTGTGTCTCTGGGAAGTGCCAGAGCCCCAGTGTTAGGCTGGGGGGGGTGACTGGGACAGGACACTCTCAAACTGTACCTTTGTGTGGGAGGGACAGATGGCACTTGCACATCTTGGCAAATGATCATCTAAAAAGTGACCTGCTGCCACCAGTTAGTTTTTCTGAAGACAGTGGTACATTAGGTCTTGCAGTGTTCATACTCCGCTGGTGTGTGATGGTTGAATTTTGCCTAGTATATAATTTTTTTTTTTTTTTGCCCCAATAAAATAACTAGAACTGTGTTATTTAGATTGCAGGCCCAGAATTTCCAAGTTACGAAATTCCAGCTCTTAGGACTGACTTGACAAGCTAAATCTAGTTTCTCTGTTAGGTATCGTATACTGGCTCTGTGATCTGTTCCTTGTGGATTTATTTTTTCCCCTCTGCTGCTGCTCATCCTTGTCCTCTATAACAGCTACCTTATCCATTGAGTAGGATGGATACACACGGGAGAAGAATTGCAGTGTTAACTGTGGAAACTGTTTTCTTGTATTTGATTCTTTAGTACAAATAGTATGGTTTTGCTGTAATCTCTTCATCTTCTGTGTCAAAAGAGGCATTTAAAATGTGTTTGCTTGATGACAAGAAAGCCAGTGTCAATATTCATGTTCTTTAAAGATTGTGTGAAACTAGGCTACTGTGGCTATATACTTGGGGTAAATTGAATGTGGTGTAAAATACTTAATTTTCAGTATTTTCAAAATTTATACTGAGATAGTGTAATCTGCTTTATTGAAATACCATCCATGGAAGTATAGCTCTGTTAAGTGGAAGCAAATATTCTCAATATATAATACTCTCAAATATATAATACTTGCTTTCACCTTTACTTTCAGTTTCTGCATGGTATATTTGTAGTGTCTGAAATGAAAAAAGCATTTAAAATGCAATACTTGTACAGAGAGCAAAAAAAAATACGTAAAGCTTCACTTTCAAAATAAGTAATGTGGTGTTACACTTGTTTACCATGCTGTATGCATCAATTGTGTTGCATCATATTATTGAAAGAGAATTTAAAGATTCTTATGAAAGTAGGTAAGTAGTGAGTAGGTAACTGAGAGCAAAAACTGCTGAGATTCTTGGAATATTTCCAGCTGCTTTAGAAATCAAATGTGCTGCACATTAACTGTTTTTTCTGTGTTGATCTTTTTATTAGAAAGTGTACTGCTCCTGGCAGTAAACTGGATTTCTGTTACTGTATGTCCTTAAGGCAGAACCAGTATTCCCTTTTTTTTCATCACTTATCCAATTGAATTGTCCTGAACTTTCTTGCCAAATAATTAAATATAGTCTTGTTATCTCAACACAGGGACCTTGATTGCATTTAAAATGAAGTATGGATCAGAAAAATAAACAGAAAAGTGATGAAACATAATATGAGTGGAAAGGAGTATTTATAAAGCCTTTGAGACTCTTACAGAATGCATTCACGGATGATGCTTCTTAATTATGTATGTG